ACAATATGCTGTTCTTGCTCACTCTTGTTACTATGTCATGAGACATGTATTACATGCTCCACTGTCTCGGGTTTTGTGAAAAAATGATTACAAACAATTTTTTTCCTCAAAAAATACCAGCATTGAATGTAATAAAATTTCTCTTTCTTGGGGGGTTAGGGGATCACTCTTGGTGGCTTTCTGTTGCAAGCAACACTAAGATAACTCAACACATATGTCACGTCAGATTTCGGAGTCCTTAATAGCCTATCAAAGACTAAAATCGAAACTCTGGCCCAGTGTGAGGTATTTCAGAATAGTACATTTAACACTTTTTTTCTGTTTAGGCAACAACAGTAGGCGCTGATACAGAAGTGCAGAGAGTAGGAGATTTGTGATCTTTCTCACTGAAGAAAAACCCCAAGGAAGCAAGGCAAAACAGACAATGGCATTGTTCACAGAAAGTAAAGAATACAGCAAACAATCCACCTATTAGTTGGGTTACATAATCCCCCAACCACCTAGTTACAGCTGGTCACTGCCAGGTGGCAGAACCATGGGGATCTGCCAGCTCTCCATGCTAACAACTCCGAGTCCTTTGTCTAATGTCAGAGAAGTCTGCTATGCTGCTCGAGTCACCAGCTCTTCGGGTCCCAGATACTGTATTCTAGATAAATGTTGGCCACCCTTTGGACTATGACTTATGAGGGGTCTATTCTCTTGTTTGTGATTACAAGCCTCACTTGGTGTGTGGACTTTGGAAACTATTCATCTTGAGTTTGCATGTGCTCAGGGTTCTTCTTTCCTAGGCACTTTATGTTGCTCCTGCCATGACAGTGCAGGTACTATTTGATATGTTCCCCATGGTACCAATGTTGCAATGTAATTCTGTATGACAAATGCTTTGGCAAAATGCACAAGCACATCTTACCTCAGGAAGCAAATGTTCTGCTTCTGCTAAGAGCATTTCATAAAAATACAAAACTATTTAAATAAATTAGAAAAAATACTTGTCTCAATCATTGCCTCATTGTATACTTTATAAGGACAGCAGGCACATGGTCTTAAAGGAAAAAAAAATAACAAATTGGGTACTCTTACAGTTTCCTTCCTAACACATAATACTTTTTCCAATCACAATCTACGCCAGTACCTTTTTTCTCCCCAAAACTCATCTCGAGGAAATCTATTCAATCCTTGCTAAACACTTATCTACAGCAAAACTATTAAACCAAAATAAAAATGCATTATGATCAAAGTTGAGTCTCATTAAGACTATTTGAAAAGATAGGCATTTTTAATTTGACCTACACTAGGGAAAAAATACTGTATAGATAAAATATAGAATCTTGGGACAAAGTTTCATCTTCAAATACTACTCAACCTATTCTCAAACATCCAATACACACAGAGGGCTATGCTTAAAATTCAACTTATGAATATTTCCAGAGAAACATCACTTCATCTCTACAGTTCCTAATATATTGCTCTCTAAGGAGACAAAATCTTGTCTAAAACTAGTTCCTCCTACCAGAATTCATCAACTTTATAAACCATGCATGATGCACATCTTCTCTCAATCATTGATCACTTGAAGAAAAAAAAACCACAGTTCATATTAATATGTATACTGTATATAGTAAACACTACATAAAACTAGGTATTAAAATGCAAACAATACCACAGTATCATCACATGGTTGAGAAGCAGGAATTGGGGTTTACTGCAATAAAATACAGTATAATAATAATAATAATAATAATAATAATAATAATAATAATAATAATAATGAATAAATAATAAGTATAACAACATCATGCAATATTATAACAATATTTTTAAAATAAAGTTATAATATTTATAACTAAATACTAAAATAAATATATACATAAAAAAATAAAAATATATACAAAATAATATATATATACTTGTACTACTTTAAGTGTTTAATAAAACTTAATTAAAAACACTGCTACTCTAATTTAATTACATATACTGTATGTATGTCGTACCTAGTAGCCAGAATGCAGTACTTGGCTTACTATGCTAGGCCCAATTTGCTTAATAAGTAGAATAATATTTGTTATTTAAAAAAAACCTGACTTGTTAATGTTTGTTTAGGTAAAGTTACGATCTATCTTAAGGTTATCTTGAAATAATTTCGGGACTTAGCGTCCCCACAGCCCGGTCTTCGACCAGGCCTCCTCCTTGTTACACATCTCCAGGAAGCAGCAAGTAGCAGCTGTCTAACTCCCATGTACCTATTTACTGCTAGGTGAACAGGTGCATCAGGGTAAAAGAAACTCTGTCCATTTGTTTCTGCCTCCACCGGGGACCGAACCTAGAACCTTAGGACTACAAATCCCGAGCACCGTCCAGTTAGCGGTCAGGCCCATGGTAGGTTAGGTTGGGTTAGGTAGGTTTGGTTAGGGTTCTTTGTACAGTGTTCCTATGCAAGTTTAAACTCAAATTAAACAAAATTGTTAATCATATACTGTATATTATAATGGAAAGCTTTTTCATTCCATTAGAATTTTTGTTAAAAAAATATGTAACTATAGAAAATCTTGCCTTATTAGACAAAAAAGACCTAGCATAGATTACCATATAATAATGCATTCTGGCTATTATGTATAACATTATATATATATATATTATATATATTATATATATATATATATATATATATATATATATATATATATATATATATATATATATATTTAATTTATTATTATTTTTTTTTATTGATTTTTTGCTTGATACACAAAGGGAAACATTTGTTAAGGGAGTAGATAGATGCTCAAGTCAAGATGAACCAACAAGTTGTAACAAGTTGCAGCCTGGTGCTGCTGGCATAGGGATCTGGGCTTCACTATCAATGGCCTACACAACACGGACTTAACATTTCAATACTGGTACAAATAAAAAGACAAATTAAAAATAACAAAAACAAATTAAAATAAGCCACTTATACATGAAACATGGGGCTTCATTGTTGATTGACACCAGATTTTATAGTTGTTACAGCAAAGTGTCTGTCTAGATGATATATTAAAGCGTTAGATATGAGGCAACAGATTTATGCAGTAGTAGAGAGAATGACAACTACTAAGTAATTCTCTCACTTTTACAATGGTACATATGGCAAGTGGTCAACCAACAATGACTATTATGGTAAACTTTCATTTTACACAAGCGGCTAAAGTCTAAGTTTCAGCTCAGCTAGTTGTTCACTTTTTCACTATGAAAATATTAATTTTGGAAAGATTAACTATGGCATGAAGAAACTAAGTACTATCAACTTATATGAATAAAAATTTTCTTTAAGTTAGTTTCAAATAACATTACTGAAATTATAATACTTTTACTTATTACGTTATCTTGTAGTAATATATATGTTACTTTTTTTATCTTAAGGCTTTGTATCATTACCATTTGATGAACAAATACAAGGTGCATGCTATTGAAAAATAAAGATTTATGAACTGTATTGTTGCATGTTAAGCCAAGCTGAATCTTATGTCAAAGTGCGACGTTATTTTTCTGCGACAACAACAACAACAAAGACAACAACAACAACAACACAGGACTGGAGACAACTCAGCTGAGTGGGAAAGAAAGCAGCAAGAGGCCGATCACAGATTCACTAGGGGGAAAGATGCTTATCAACCTGCTAATTCTCTGGCACGGCTCGTAATAATCAGCCGCACTCTTAAACATGGTGGAACTTGGCCATCATTATGTGCAATTGGCTAAACAAAATATTCCCTTTGGGGGGTTCCAGCCAATCACATGTGGAGTCTTTTCTCTCTCTATCACCCCTTTTAAAGTATTAGATTTTTCTACTTGAATATCATGTTCACACTAAATTACAAAGTAGCAGAGGACACTTAGTTCTGCAATAACAAATTAATGTAATCCTAAGATTATTATGCACTCAGACAAATTCTCACAGGTATAAGCATATACAGTACTATAATGGAATACAGCAACAAGATACAAAACCATGTGATAGCTAATCAAAGCACCATATTTCAAAAATTACAAACTGCTAAAATAATAAAACATTTTACACAACCAACTATACAAGCCAGCTATACTACATAACTCTTAATGACTACTGTAATGAACTTTCATAGGCATTTTCTGTTTATTATTTAACCATAGTTCCCCGAATTCTTTTAAACTGTGGTCATTTCTATACAAAAATCAGAGCCATTGCAATATTCCATCTTAGCACTGTACACATTATTTAACTATTCCCTGTAAGGTCCCGTCTGGCTCACCAGTAATCATTTATCCAATCAAAGTAAACACAGCTCAGTTCAAAGCTATATTTTAGATAATGCTCTATTGAGTAATCAGTCATCAAATTCTGATAATAGATTTAATAGACATATGAAGGTAGTTATGAATGAAAATATTTTGTGAAAAATAAGAATGCTACTAAGACAGCAAAGTTGAATTTTATGTCCGATTAAAATTGATAAAGTACATCTATCAAGCTTCCTGTATAGAACTACAGTATAATAACGCTTTATATTCGACTGTAAATTATTTTGTACAAACAAATAACAATACTAACCATTCATCTAACTTCATATGTTTCAAAAAATATATATATGAAGATCAAAAGCATGCAAGGTAATGACTAAATATATTCAAATCTGCTTGGCAATTATATTTTAGTAAAATGTTTTCTGCCAAGTGAATGATGGCTCTATAGTCAAATGCATGACTATGTACTACAATAAAAAAAAATTATTTGAAACAGTAAAGTCCATTTTCATATAGGAGTATATACTATTTACTCTAAATGCATAAAATATAATTAGTATTATGTATTGACTATAAAAATATTTATTGTGAATTTAAATAATTAATCTTTACTAAGATAAGTAATCATATTCACTTCATTACTCCATTATCATTTTATCTGACATTTTTTTTTTGCATTACAAGGAACTAAAATTTCTTCGAGCTACAAAAATATATAGAAAATCCAGTTTTGTGCTCACCTGACTCTCCACCAGCATGGCCATGTCCATAAACATGTCGTGGAGTTCTCTGATGGAGGTTTCTAACTTGATAATATCTGCATGTCGAGCCTCGATATCCGCCAAAGTCTGTTTTGCTTGCTGGGTCTCCATGATGATCTGTCAAAAATACTTGCATCAAACTGGATGAAAATCACACAAAGGTGAATTATGGCAAAATAAACATGCATTTCACTGCATATTTGAGTACACTTTCATCGAAAAGTGAGGTCTGTACAGCACTGTTGTAAAGTACTAATCCACCACAGCCTTCATTAGGCTATCAGTGCCAAGGCTTATTAATGCTCCCCAATATGATTTCCTGAGTACCTACCCTTCCTAACTTACACCAGATGAATGTCTTTTAACATATGATAGTCACTATTAAAGCTTAAGACTTAATGTAGGCTGCATAATGCCAGTCATAGACTAAATGTTGATGAATGTAGGAAAAATAAATTTTGCATTTGGATATGTATAAATTACAAGGATTGGTGTCAATTGGTAGCTTAGACTGCATGTTGGGAGCATATTGGTAGCCTGAATTGCATGTTGGGTGCATATTGATAGCCTAGACTGCATGTTGAGTGCATATTTTTAATGTAGATTGTATGTTGCGTGCATGCTGGCAACCTATGTTGAATATTGGAAATCTAGATTACATATTGGTAGCCTAGATTGCATATTGGTACCCTAGACTGCATGTTGGGTGCATGCATACAATACCTTGAATTCGCAATTATATGGGTCAATTGGAATAGAACCCTCTTATTTGAGTTAAGAGTTTCCATTTTAACCTAGAATTCGACTTTTTTGCAATCTTTTCGTATCAAAATTAGTTGTGTATAATACTGTACATTCATCTTTGATATAAAGCTGAATTAACATGAATAACTCATTGACATGAACACCTAAGCCATAGGAATGAGAGATGACAAAGCATGTCAGAGAGAACAGGTGCAGCCACCACTGCCATAAAACACACACACGCATAGCTGTGTGCTATTTACCTGAAAATAACACACAGCAGAATCCCTCCACCACCATATACTGGTGCAATATTTTCTCTACAGCTAAATTTCCCATAAAATATAATTTATCCATATAAAAATGCAAGAAATGTTAACAAATAAAAAAATATGAACTTTTAAGTTTTGCAAAAGAACAGGAAGAAATAGAGCATTTATACATGTTTGAAAAATCGAAGAAATTGATAGAACTTAGATTGCTTACCCCTTGTGTGAAGACAGCTGGATTGCCCTGTTCTAACATGTCTTCCAACTCGTCACTAGTGGTATTTCGCCCAGCTGTAAGTCAGTGTGTGTTCATGACCAAGCAGAGTACATAAAATAGAGAAAATATGCTAATTTATGTAATTCAAATAAACATAAGCAATACATACAGAATATGAACTATCTGATATGCTACTCTGTGGGTGGCAGTAAAAACTAATTAAAATTGAGCTATCAAATTTGTTCAACATTCAAAAAGCAAAATTTTAATATATATGCAATAATTATCAAAAGAAAAAAATGACCGAGATAAAATTATGTCTATTGTGGATAATGTATCATAAAACTCCCGTTAAATATGCAAGTCCTTTCAACATCAACCTACACCAAAAAAATAAAAAAAAGAGATCATGAAAAAGTCATATAATGATCCCAGTTTCAGGTTTAAAAGTGACATAAATAAAAATAGTATTACAATTTTTAATTTAGATCCTTAAGGCTGCCAGATGTCAAAGTGTGCCAAGCAGACATAATAGAAAACTTTCTGTAAATAGTTATATTGGGAGGTATTTGAGGTATTGAATAGTACTACAAGAGGCTTCTTTCAATGCTTGCTTGATCGAGTCTCAATGTTAATAATGCAAGATATAAGATAAGATATAAGAATAAACATTAGTTATGCTTTAAACAAACCTAAGACACTTATGATTAGTGTACTATACATTAAGTGGAGTGTCTTGGAGGTAGACTGGAATTTATTCTCAAAATCAAAAGCACCAAACACATAGTTTAAAAATATGAATATTTTTAAAACCTTTACAGTTCATTATTCTGCCATTTACAGAAAGCAGCAGAGTTACACAGATATATACATCTTTACAGTGTATGAATATTCAAATCAATGCAATTTAATAAATTGGCAATCTGTGCACTGCAGTTACTGGAGATAAAACAAGCACAGGATGTGTGCCTTTTATTCTACAATTGAGTATTTTGAAATTATTTACAAGTACTGCATTAAACAGTTTGGTTCCAAAGCCTACGCTTATTACAAACCTAAAAACATTCATCCAACTTCCCACATAGACATGCATAACAGAGCACACAGTATACCATTCTTCATGCTAAGGATGGCAGAGAAACCCTCCGTATGGCACATGAATAAAAGCTGTATACTCGATCTCAAAGAATTCATTATACAAACTTTGTATGAAGAGTATTGGTCAATAAAAATTATTGTACTCTAAAGACAACTGTATAAATCAAAATAAATTCAATCAAGACATCAACTTGAATTTGTTGATGTCATCAATCATACAAGGTTTCCTTTAGCTTTAGCTTTGATGTCCAAAGGGTTTGAAAAGGATGGGTGAGGTAGAGAGATTGGGGGGTGAAATTCTGAAAGAAGATGTAGGTGTAGAGAGAGAAGAGGATTGAAAGTTCGGTGGCCTGTCCACCATGAGTTGGCATGTGTGTGTGCTGTTTCTTTAGGTCTGTGGTATTTTGGGTTGTCAGTACATTGGCTGGGTGGCTAGTGTTTGTGTCCTAGCTGGTGTCTGGAAGCCATAGAGCCATTGTCAGTACATTGAGTTTGTTGCAGGAGACTATTCTTAGCAACATCAGGGTGGTTACTCTTCTGGTAGCACAAATAAGGTTTTTTGTTGTTTATTTATATATTTTTTTATTGTATTTATTGAGTGTATATCGGGTCTGGGATGGTCCACTCATTTGGGTCGTCTGGGATATCACTTAGTATGTCGTCGTCTCGGGAAGGCCTGATCATGGATGTGTCTGATCACTTAGTTGGAGTGTGATTCTTCTGGGTCTGTGTGGTGGTTCGTGGATCTCATAGTCACTGGTTGTGTTTACTGCTTCGTGGGGTTCTTCGGGATCTGGTACATACATGTGCTTCATGCGGTACAGCTGCCTTCTGGTCAAGTAGCTGAACCTGGTGTTCATTGGCATCATGTTGAGAGTCTCATGGATCTAGTCTGTTCTTACCCTGTCCGCCAGTGATAGGCCCTCCACGAAGTGATCATACAAGGTGCCCAAACATACGTATTCAAAATAAAAAGATGACTTGGCCTAGAGATCTGAAACACAATAGCCTCATGCAACACACCAGCCTCACACTCATGCAACACGCCAGCTTTGGGAGTCAACAACGGGACTTACTAATTTCAAGCTGTCGCTGTATCCTGCCCTTGCAGCGTTCACGGTAGTCCGTCTGTGTGCGGTTGTACTCGGTCATCACCTCGACAAACTTGCGACTCAACGTTGAGTGTTGAGTCTTCTTTATCCTCAGGTCGGCACTCGCCTTACTCACATGTTCTTCCGACTCGATATTTTGCTCAATTACTGTTAAATGAAAAGATTACAATGAAAACACAAATAATAATAATAATAACAATGTGTTTGGGCCACTTTTGTCAGCCATTTAATTGAATGACATCCTAAAAATAATCCCAGAGGCTTTTGTATTGTATAGGTGACATGTGAAAGAACATAATTCACATTAATTAAACCTTACAATCATTTAATCACAAGGAAGAAATTTGAAATTATTGTTTCCACAAAAAATCTCCAAAGAAAGCTATTCACATAATTTGTGTCATTGTGTTATCAAAGAGGAAAATAACAACATTTGCAGAATTCAGAGATAAGTCTGTCAATGGTGTTCAAGAAATGTGAAAGTACTCATTCAAAATGATGCACTAATGTAAATCTTTGTCACAGATGCAAAGTTTACTTGCTGTTGATCATGCATGAATGTGACTGTAAAACTCCCACCCAGTTGGATAGTGTGGGGAAAGCCTGATTATTTACTGTGAAACTGACTCACTGCAGATGTAAATTGCCTTGTACAGAGACTGCTGCCGGCCACTTCATGAACCACTTGTGATTTAAAAACAATTGATATACGTGTATGCATGTATAATTATATTGTGCATGTATATATTCATGTATGTATTAAAAACCTGTAACTTTTTTGTCATTTTAACTTTGCACCGAGGGGCGAATTTATATGGCAGTGCCACTCTTCCTGTGAGTGAACATTCAACCATAGCAGCATGTACAATACCCCCAGTAGGAAGAAATTTACATAAGATTGTTACTTCCAGAGCTAAATGAACTATGGGGTTCCGTTCCTGAACCCATTATGTGCCTCTGTAACCCTTTCCACCATGACCCATAGGATGAGTATAGGGTGCATAAGAAATGACTAACGATAGCTATCTCACAAAGCCATTGTTATTTATATATATATATATATATATATATATATATATATATATATATATATATATATATATATATATATATATATATATATATATCATAGACTAGACAATAAAAAATTGCTATATTCAATGATTAAAAGATTTGGAGTAAAGAATGTTTAAATTTGTTCTCACTAGACTTGACCCACAGCCATTCCCACCCCTGATCTAGCCACACCCACCCTTGCTCTAGCCACACCCACCCTTGACCTAGCCACACCCACCCATGCCCTAGCCACACCCACCCTTGCCCTAGCCACACCCACCCTTGATCTGGCCACACCTACCCCCTGACCCAACCATTTACCTTTGAGCTTGGCTCTAACTCTGTTGGCCGTCTTCTTGATATCGGTCATCATATCATCCAGCTCCTGTTTCACCTCTGAAATACAAAAAAAAAAATGACATTTAGTAAGGTTGAGATGAAGTTCATGCTATAGACTTGGCGAGTTCCTCTAAGCTTGGCGAGTTCCAGCTGCAACTTATATTATCGCTCTGTTAATATGTCACAGCTTGGACACGAGCTTAACTTACAGTCCGTAAAACTATTAAAAAAAATTGGAACAAATAATAAAATTCTTCAAATCTGTAACTTGCATCATATGCCTACTATTGTTCTCTTGTTTTATTATGTTCATCTAGGTGCCGCTGCCTGGACAATTGCCAAGTGCCGGCCAGAACACCACCCAAGTGCCAGCCAGAACACCACCCAAGTGCCAGACAGACCACCACCCAAGTGCCAGTCAGAACACCACCCAAGTGCCACCCAGAACACGACCCAAGTACCAGCCAGAACACGACCCAAGTACCAGCCAGAACACGACCCAAGTACCAGCCAGAACACGACCCAAGTTTAGCAGGAATGGCTAATTCTCACTCTGCCCCAATGAAATTAAATATTTACTATTTCCATAAGTAAACAAAAAAAAAAAAAAGAGCTGAAACTGAATAAACAGCTATTCCCTGACTGGCTTCCAGATGCCTTCACTCGCCTCCTGCCTTCACTCCACTCAACTTTCCAGATCCCAGTCACTCACTCAACCTTCCACATACCACTCAACCTTCCAGATCCCAGTCACTCACTCAACCTTCCACATACCACTGAATCTTCCAGATCCCAGTCACTCACTCAACCTTCCATATACCACTCAACCTTCCAGATCCCAATCACTCACTCAATCTTCCAAATCAGCAATGCTTCTCACTCTCACACGAGATTAATGTCAAGAAATGGTAATTGTACATGTATTATTCGAGATTACTAAATGTGCAAAGAAATGTTTAGCATGAACAATGGACAGGAAGGGTTTACACGAGTGGAAAACAGAAACACAGATGAGCCAGAGAAAGCACTCCTGTTCTAAAAGAGAAGTGGAGGAAGTGGAAAAAGGGCAATTTCTCGACCCAGAATAGTGTGAGTGTTCACCAACTGCGAGGGTGTTGACTGGTTGATAAGCATTACAATCCAGGCCACGTGAATGAACACCAGTGAAGTCATGATAGACTAGAATACAGAACAAAAACTTCAACAACTGGAAGAGCAGAATGAGAACACATGTCAATGCTGCATCACAGATGCAAATGTTGCATACAAATGTTGCACAGGATGCACGCCCCAGCGCTGGCTCTGTTGCAAATGACACCCGAACATTAACCTCAGCATTAAAGTAAACCTATATCTCATTTTCCTTACTAAGATACGAGGTCTCAAAACCCCACAGAACTAACAAAGTTCCATTCACAGCCTCATCGAGGTTAATGTACAATGTGCAGAATGCATGGAAACTCATATCGGAACTACTATAACATAAGAATAGTAATGCTAGAGAATACTATTTTTTCAGATATGATCTACAAAATAAGCCACATGGTGGGTGGTTCGTCCAGTATGCTGAAAAGACTCATGCAGTTAGCACCTAAATGACACGAATGATTTGATGAAAATACAGTCAAAATATGTTAACATAGTTACTATCCTCGTCTACAAATCACCAGATGCAAATTCCCACCAATTCAAAGACCAATTAATAAGATGAGAATGCTGAATGAAAAACTTCCGCAAATTCAATTCCAAACATTATCTTGCTTGCTATGGGAGAGGTTAGGAAATAACACGAGGGTCTAAGGTAAACTTGTTATATGGTAGGGGATGGGTCCAGGGTAGGAGGTTTAGGTATAAGGGGTTTGGGTAAGCGGGTTCGGGGAAGGGGGGACTAGGGAAGGGAGGTCCAGGGAAAGGGTGGTCCAGGGAAAGGGTGGTCCAGGGAAAGGGTGGTCCAGGGAAAGGGAGGTCCAGGGAAAGGGAGGTCCAGGGAAAGGGAGGTCCAGGGAAAGGGAGGTCCAGGGAAAGGGAGGTCCAGGGAAAGGGAGGTCCAGGGAAGGGAGGTCCAGGGAAGGCAGGTCCAGGGAAGGCAGGTCCAGGGAAGGGTGGTCCAGGGAAGGGTGGTCCAGGGAAGGGTGGTCCAGGGAAGGGTGGTCCAGGGAAGGGTGGTCCAGGGAAGGGAGGTCCAGGGAAGGGAGGTCCAGGGTAGGGGTGATACTCACTCTCGTCTGTCTGCGGCGCTGAGAGGATCTCGCTGTGTTTCTTCTTGACCTCCTCCACATTGTTCTGTATCTTCTCTATCATCTCCCGTATCTCCTCCACCTGTGGAACAACAAACAGTATTACAACAAGAACGTGCCGTTTGCAGTTTTCTCTCACAGGCCTTCAAACTGCCTTCAAACTTTCGTTTCAATGCAGTTTTCTCTCACAGGTCCGTCAAGCTTAACAGAGGTTCAGAAGGTCTCATACGTGATCTTGTACAAACTACTGTACGACTGTTATTGATAATATATATATATATATGCACCGATAGTATAATCACCATCAGCATTACCATCATCATCACCATCATCATTCGCAGCATCATTCGCAGCATCAGCAGCAGCATCACCACTGCTGCTGCTGGAGATGTCAATAGTTGTATACATAACCAGATACTGAAGTATCGTCTAGATGTACCAGGTGTTATAATTAGGTTATCTAGGTGCCAATATTATGACCCCAGGCGTGCCCCATGACCCCAGGTGTCTCCCATGACCCCAGGTGTCTCCCATGACCCCAGGTGTCTCCCATGACCCCAGGTGTCTCCCATGACCCCAGGTGTCTCCCATGACCCCAGGTGTCTCCCATGACCCCAGGTGTCTCCCATGACCCCAGGTGTCTCCCCATGACCCCAGGCGCCCCCACGACCCCAGGCGTCCCCCACGACCCCAGGCGTCCCCATGACCCCAGGGCGTCCCCCCGTGACCCCAGGCGTCCCGTGAGAGTTGGCAGGTTTCTCTGGCACTTATCAGTAATCCCTTCTCTTATATACCCGCTTACTAACCACTCGCCCATCACTGACGGTAAGTGGGAAGGCTTCCGTCCCACTCCCTCACTCTACACCTCTCCTTCCTTCTCCCTTTCCCTCTCACAACGGCAGCGTTGCCACATTGCCACAGGTGCCACCATGCAACCAGTTTCATAATGCAAGGATTTTTTATATATTAACACATTTAGGTACATCTACATTTGTACAGCTACCCAAGACTATATGAAGGGGGGAGTAGCGTGTCAAAAAGCTAGCCATGTGATGCTACAATCGCATGTGATCAGCGTAGGCAAGGAAGCAAAATCGTAAATAGTCTACGGATCCGTCAAGCCACGTTTCACTAGGAATAAGCCCGACAACTTTCTAAACTAGACGAGTGGCCTAGTATTCCAGTCACGTAGCTCACAATTTATATCAAGGTACAATCACGTCTCATATGAATGTTACTCCTACATTACCCTCCACAAGTGTGTATAGAAAATAGATAGAAGACTATCACCTGAGGACCGTATAAAGAATATTGTGCGAGGAGCCTATGCCACGCTTTCTAACTTCAGAATGGGTAGACGGTTGGAACAAGTTAGGTGAGAAGGTGGTGGAGGCCAAGACCGTCAGTAGTTTCAAAGCGTTATATGACAAAGAGTGCTGGGAAGACGGGACACCACGAGCGTAGCTCTCATCCTGTAACTACACTTAGGTAATTACTTAGGTAATTACACACACTTTATAAGAGTGCCAACTAGGGCCAGACTTCAGCACGTGGCACCGTTTAAAAATAACTCGACGAGGGAGAAAACGAGAGAGATGGAGAGTGAGCGAGACACAGAAGAGTGAAAGAGCGAATAGAAGAAAGAGAGCAAGTAAGAGTCGGAGCAAGAGTGAGAGCAGAACAGAGTTGGCCAGAGAACAAGCGAGAGTGAATGAGTAAGGGCGAGTGAGAGAGGGGGCGAGCGAGAGGGAACAAGTGAGAAACAGCAAATGAGAGATTAAGAAAGACAGAGAATGAGGGAGGAACGAGAGAGGAAGGGGAGAGGAGAAAGACCAATAGCAAGAACCCGAGATCAATGGCAGCTTTGTTAAGGACAGAACACCACCAGCACCACCACCACCACAACCACCACCACAACCACCACCACCACAACCACCACCACAACCACCACCACAACCACCACAACCACCACAACCACCACCACCACCACAACCACCACCACCACCACAACCACCACCACCACCACAACAACCACCACAACCACCACAACCACCACCACCACCACAACCACCACCACCACCACAACCACCACAACCACCACAACCACCACCACCACCACAACAACCACAACCACCACAACAACCACCACAACCACCACAACCACCACCACCACCACAACCACCACCACCACAACCACCACCACCACAACAACCACAACCACAACCACCACCACCACCACAACAACCACCACAACCACCACCACCACAACCACCACCACCACCACCACAACCACCACCACAACAACCACCACAACCACCACCACCACCACAACAACCACCACCACCACCACAACAACCACCACAACAACCACCACAACAACCACCACCACCACCACAACAACCACCACAACAACCACCACAACAACCACCACCACCACCACAACAACCACCACAACAACCACCACCACCGCCACAACAACCACCACAACAACCACCACCACCACAACAACCACCACCACAACAACAACCACAACCACCACAACAACCACCACCACCACAACAACCACCACCACCACCACAACAACCACCACAACAACCACCACAACAACCACCACCACCACAACAACCACCACCACAACAACAACCACAACCACCACAACCACCACCACCACCACAACAACCACCACCACAACAACAACCACAACCACCACAACAACCACCACCACCACAACACCACCACCACCACAACAACCACCACAACAACCACCACAACAACCACCACAACACCACCACCACCACAACAACCACCACCACCACAACCACCACCACAACAACCACCACCACCACAACAACCACCACCACCACCACAACCACCACCACCACCACCACCACCACCACCACCACCACCACCACAACCACCACCACCACCACAACCACCACCACCACCACAACAACCACCACAACAACCACCACCACCACAACAACCACCACCACCACAACCACCACCACAACAACCACCACCACCACAACAACCACCACCACCACCACAACCACCACCACCACCACCACAACCACCACCACCACCACAACCACCACCACCACCACAACAACCACCACCACCACAACAACCACCACCACCACAACCACCACCACAACAACCACCACCACCACAACAACCACCACCACCACCACAACCACCACCACCACCACCACAACCACCACCACCACCACAACAACCACCACCACCACAACCACCACCACAACAACCACCACCACCACAACAACCACCACCACCACCACAACCACCACCACCACCACCACAACCACCACCACCACCACAACCACCACCACCACCACAACAACCACTAGCCTAATTATTGTTTAAAACTATTATTACATTCTTTTATTATAATTACATTGACCATCATTGAAAGACCGAGACAATGAGAGCAACTGAGAGCGCGAACATAAGCGAGAATGAACAAGAGCGGGAGAATAAGTGAGAGCTAACAAGAGCGCTAGCCAGCAGAGTAATCACTAGGCACTCTTAGAATTACGAGCGTGTAGTAGCAGCAGGAGAGGACATAGTGTGTGTGGGGGAGTGGGGGAGTGCAGAGTGTGTGGGGGAGGGGGGGGGGAAGGGGGGGAGAATGGGGGAGGGTTTCCACTATTGATTGGGATGCTCATTCAGAAGCCAGACAGCGCGGCGCTCCCCAACACGGAGTGCGTCCGCCGAGTCTCTTGTCGGCGGTAGGTCAGTGGGCGGTGGGTAGGTAGGTCAGTGGGCGGTGGGTAGGTAGGTCAGTGGGCGGTGGGTAGGTAGGTCAGTGGGCGGTGGGTAGGTAGGTCAGTGGGCGGTGGGTAGGTAGGTCAGTGGGCGTGTGGGTAGGTAGGTCAGTGGGCGTGTGGGTAGGTAGGTCAGTGGGCGGTGGGTAGGTAGGTCAGTGGGCGTGTGGGTAGGTAGGTCAGTGGGCGTGTGGGTAGGTAGGTCAGTGGGCGGTGGATAGGTAGGTCAGTGGGCGTGTGGGTAGGTAGGTCAGTGGGCGTGTGGGTAGGTAGGTCAGTGGGCGTGTGGGTAGGTAGGTCAGTGGGCGTGTGGGTAGGTAGGTCAGTGGGCGGTGGATAGGTAGGTCAGTGGGCGGTGGATAGGTAGGTCAGTGGGCGTGTGGGTAGGTAGGTCAGTGGGCGGTGGGTAGGTAGGTCAGTGGATAGGTAGGTCAGTAGGCGGTGGGTAGGTAGGTCAGTAGGCGGTGGGTAGGTAGGTCAGTGGGCGGTGGGTAGGTAGGTCAGTGGGCGGTGGATAGGTAGGTCAGTGGGCGGGGGAAAAGGTAGGTAGGTCAGTGGGCGGGGGAAAAGGTAGGTAGGTCAGTGGGCGGGGGAAAAGGTAGGTAGGTCAGTGGGCGGTGGGTAGGTAGGTCAGTGGGCGGTGGGTAGGTAAGTCAGTGGGCGGTGGGTAGGTAAGTCAGTGGGCGGTGTGGGACGTGTACCATAATATGGGAAGCGGTGGTGGGTGTTCATGGAGTGTGGGCGGGCGGGCGGCGAGACGCTCTTTATGCTCCAGGCGCTGTTACCTCTCATACATTATAGTGCCTTCTGTGTAGCCTACTGAGAGGGGCGTGAAGAGCATGCGTGGGCGGCGACCCAGACTGGGCGAACGCGTGGGCGGCGACCCAGACTGGGCGAACGCGTGGGCGGCGACCCAGACTGGGCGAACGCGTGGGCGGCGACCCAGACTGGGCGAACGCGTGGGCGGCGACCCAGACTGGGCGAACGCGTGGGCGGCGACCCAGACTGGACGAACGCGTGGACGGCGACCCAGACTGGACGAACGCGTGGACGGCGACCCAGACTGGACGAACGCGTGGACGGCGACCCAGACTGGACGAACGCGTGGACGGCGACCCAGACTGGACGAACGCGTGGACGGCGACCCAGACTGGACGAACGCGTGCACGGCGACCCAGACTGGACGAACGCGTGGGCGGCGACCCAGAGTGAACGAACGCTTGAAGCGCCCTCGAACCTTGAGTGTGTGAGTGGGTGTCCAACCCCCAGCAAGACACCGTCCTCGCTAATATACAAC